GGTGTTGTTATCACTGTTATACACCTGTTATAGGGTCTCAGAGCCTTGTCAGTGTTGTTACCATTGTTCTACACCTGTTATAGGNTCACTGTACCTCACCGTGTTACAGTCGATATATATATACACTCTACCTCACCGTGTTACAGTCGATATATATATTAACTGTACCTCACCGTGTTACAGTCGATATATACACTGGACCCCACCGTGTTACAGTAGATATATACAGTGTACCTCACCGTATTATAGTCAATGGGTTATGAGGTTAATGTAATGCTTCGGAGATTACAATCTAAAATATGCATAGATGCATATTCGTTACTTTTCATATTAGTTCCGATATTCTTGATTACTGAAAATCAGATCAATTCTGTGCAGATGACTTCTAATATTTTCTGCTGCTGTTTGGCACCTGTATTCTTTTGCATAGTAGCAAACACTATGTGTGGCTACTTGTAACCTTTTTATGAAGTGGTACCGTGGTGGCACCTGGTAACAGTGTCCATTGCCCCATCAATGAAAATCCATAGTGTATGAGCGCTGGTTTCATCAATTAGTCTAGCGTTGTTGAAACCCACACGGGAGTGTCGTTCTGCGGCGCGCATTTAACGGATAGCTACGGAAACATCCACTTTACAACATACAAGAATTCTGGGTGAGTGAGTTTCATGTAAGGGTCCGATGTAGACGTTTTCTATATCATGTAATTCTCGTGATTATAATTAGTTGTTTTAAATCAATTGGTGTGGGGGTTTTATGAAACCGTGTATTTCGATGTGAAGAAGGTTTTGATCAGTTGTTGGGAATTTACACGAAATGAAGGTGTGGTCCTCTGACACAGGTATTGAAACCACTGACACTGTAGTAAAGGTCACAACATAGGATTAGGGTTCTTCCTTAATTATTTCATTTTACGTATCCGTGTGAATGATGACCGAGCTTCGGTCTGTAAGTTATAAAGATGTTAACACGTTACAATCGCTTTGTATGGATCGTTTGATGTGGATACTCGCGCAAATATAGTAATTAGATGTTTATAGTCGCGAAAGGATAAAAATAAGATGTGGATATTCGCGCAAATATAGAAATTATATGTGGATACTCACGAAATATAGAAATTAGATGTGGAGAGTCGCACAATGATATGATTTTGATGCGAATGTTTTATGTGGATGCGTTACACTCAGACAATGTGGAATGTTTTATGTGGATGCGTTACACACAGACAATGTGGAATGTTTTATGTGGATGTGTTACACACAGACAATGTGAAACATTTTATGTGGATGCGTTACACACAGAAAATGTGGAATATTTTATGTGGATGCGTTACACACAGACAATGTGGAATATTTTATGCGGATGCGTTACACACAGACAATGTGGAATGTTTTATGTGGATGTGTTACACACAGACAATGTGAAACATTTTATGTGGATGCGTTACACACAGAAAATGTGGAATATTTTATGTGGATGCGTTACACACAGACAATGTGGAATATTTTATGCGGATGCGTTACACACAGACAATGTGGAATGTTTTATGTGGATGTGTTACACACAGACAATGTGGAATGTTTTATGTGGATGTGTTACACACAGACAATGTGAAA